GCCACATAGGTGTGCGTGCGCCTTCTCCCCTCCATATGAATTTAGTTATCCCCACCAGCTTGCGCTGCTTCTCGGTTGCGCGCACCATCTTCCCCCTGCTATGAATACACCGACGGTGTGCAGCATTCGATTAGCAATGGGTCCGATCTAATTTCAAGCTTCTTAAATTTATAATCGTGCCGAGGATGGAACTCGATCTTTTTTACCGATCGATTCTTCGGAAATAACTTGGAATGCATACTGTGCTAGGAATGCGCTTGAAAAAACGCGTATATACCATCGTTGCATACCGTGGTGCAGTGGATTAATAAGCACAGTGATTAAAAGTACGCTGTGAAGGTGTGTGCGTTCTTTTGAGGTTAGAAATTTTCACGGATAGAAGATCTTACGAAGGTACTTAAACATATCAAAATTAAAACTATAATCATTGAAATACGTATTTGAACGCAAATTTCATTAGTCCAATTAGTTTGTGCAATATTTTAGCTACTATTTTGACCAGTACTTTATGAACGTCAAAGCACTTCTGTAAGGCAAGATTTCCAGCGTCATTTCAGATGACTATTAAGTTTATTTTGAATCTCGTTTTGAGCATCACCTTTGAGGGTTTAGTTTGAGTTCTAATTTCAGCTCTCGCAAAACTCATTGAACTCACTCTTCAAGAGCACGATCTTATTTTTCGCGTAATTGTTTTGAGCAACACGTTTCCACACGCTGGCTTGACCCCGTCCCTACTTTCCAACGGCCTCAAATCCGGTATATCCTCACTTCCTTTATCCCTACTGTATCTAGCGAAGCGCGTGTACGGTCGACGCGTCAATTATACCCGAATTGAAGGTGATGTCTCATCACGATTACGCCACAAAAATAAAGACCGCTTGGCTTTTCGTCAATGAGTTCGAGTGGACCGAGCCTGTTTGCGTCACTTTTCGTCAGCGTGGTGATCGTTACGAGCGAATTCCAAATCCTAATAGCACACAATAAGCAGAAAATTGCTCCATTTTTGTTCGTTTAATTCGAACTTATTTTGAGCGCATATTGGATTCGCGCAAAATACCGTACACTTACTAGCCTAAACATTCTATTACCCATACTCATAACATAGCTACGTAAAAATTGTGAACGTATAGTCTTTTAGCATTTCGTTGGTGTATTGCTTGAAATTGGCAATACTCAATGCTGGTGAACGAATAATTTCAACGGCAATAAAAAATATCTAAAAATTACGATTTAAAAACATTTTAACAAAGAAGAACAAAAACAAGAACTAAGAACTGTGGCAAATTTAATATCGAATATTAATTAATAAAATTCATCCAAATGTCTCCTACAACATTATAGAAAGAAACGATACTGAATATAACCTTAATTTAATTCCGATAATAAATACGATAAAAATAAATGTTTCTTAAAAAGTGTTCCTGCGACGTTATTGCAAATGGCGAACAGCCTGTGTTTCCCTGAGTTTCTCAGTCCGAAATGGACGAACGATTCTTTCCAACCAGTTACAAACACCAGGTATTTCCATTTAATCAGTGAATAACGCGTTTGTGATGTAATGTTCACCGGTGTTTCACACACCTCGCTTGCAATACGGCGTTTTATCATTAGACTGCGAGAGGTACGGAGCGTAGAACTCTGCGATTTATGAATGATTCGGAGGAGTGAATGAACGGGGCTGACGCATGCGCGCCGCCGTCCAGATTCCATTCCCATTCCGATCTCGCCTCTATTCTCATTGCTTTATCCTTTTGCCGCGCTGCGTAGGTACCGTGAACGCACAACAGCTGTAGAATTCATAAAAAGATCTGTCCGACTGGAACCCTTATCAAGGTCTCTCCGTCGATCCCCCCTCTCTTCTCTTTCTCACCCTCTCCCCCCCTTTCTCTCTCGTACTTTTCTCTCTCTTTTCCTCTGACTTACTCTCTCGCTCTTTTCTCTATTTTTCTCTCCGTTCTTTCTCTCTCTCTCTCTCTCTGTTCTCTAACACGGAGACGTCGCCAGGGAGAAAAAGAAGGCGAGTTTCTTTCACCGTTACAAAATATTTGCACAACCACATGGAAACCATCCCGGTCGGAATGAATTAGGCTGACCTCTTTGTAATTTCATCTCGCGACAACCGTGATTTTTCCTAACTCAGATAAGACTATTTAGATTGTACTGTTGCTTTTCCCACATACCTTCTGTTTGTCCGTCCTAAATAATCAATTTTTTTTTCTTCTCAAGGCGAAAGACACGGTACTGAATCAATGGAAATTTTTGTCTGTTTCTTCATCTTTGAGTTAAAGTGGGTTACTCTTGTTTTATTACAAAACAAAATAATTAGATACCTTGAAAAATTTTTTTTTAATAATACTAAAGTTTCTTCCTGTCAGAAGAGCTATAGATACCTTCCGTCTTTCTTGAAAAGTTCAGGTTTCGAAGATTACCATCTTTTCCACGCACAATTTCATTAGTATTCAACGACGAATTACCCTCAGTCTAACAACTTCATCCTACGAACAGTCGTGACAACAGATCTTCCACTGGATTAAATCATTATCTTGGAAATCTAAATCAGCGACTCTCAAAATTACAAAAATCTTCTTTCACTGTTGCAACATGCTAGCCCTCGAAATTGAGGGTTGAAAACATTTTTTTCTTTTAGAATATATGAATATAAAATTTTTTTTTAAAAGTATGTTTTTAATTTAGCGTAAATTTGTGTGTATATTATGCATCAAAATATGGAATATAGGTAAGACTTTTCGTGGAATTTTTGTTTTTATGAGAGTGAAAGCAACATGAATGGAAGAATCGTCGATGTGCACAGTGCCAAGTGGCAAGTCGATACTTCGAGGAAGCAGCAGCATTTGTGATGCATATAACGGTCACAATAGCAGGTTACAACTTGTCGGTACAAGCCGTGAACAGTGGTCTGCCTTTTAAAATTCGCAGCTGACAGTCAAAAGGCGACAATGCCGCTGAATATTGAACGCACGGAACCACCTTTCGAATATCATTCCTCGTAGTTAACCAACAGAACAATTGTAACGTTACGTTCTGACTTATTTATGAAGATGTTCTTCACCTGGTTGGAAAAACGTGTCATTAAAAGCCTCTCATTAAAAACGTGTAATTTCCTTATTATCGTGTCCCTGAATCAATGCTTCTCGACATTAAAACGATTCGATCCATCTACATACTGACGGTTTCAAAGCATGCGACAAATCTCGAGAGCAAATAGATGAAAATTTTCTTTTTCACCCAGGAAGCTCAGTTTTCGTGAATTTTTCTCTGGTAGATCTTTGTCGGATTCGTGTGGGAAATTTTAAATAGGAAAATCGTGTGATTGTTAGTCTGAAGAAAAATTGCTGAAAATATTTCAAGATTCCATAATAGAAAAAAATTTCGTAATAATTATTATTGCGCATTAAATAAAAATTACATAATAATGATTAATTAAAAATTGAGCAATAACATTTAATAATGATGAAAAATAAATAATACTTAAAGAATAGTACTGTTAGGAAAAAAGTGTGCCACTTGCCAGTTTAGATCATCCATTTTTCTTCTTCTTTTTTTACACCCTCGTTGTTCCTCTTCAGCTTCCATTAAACGTAACTCGCCTCCACGAGGCAGAATGAAAGGACAAGTGTTTGCCGAACAATTTTCTCCGGCGGATAATGGTTAACCCAGAAACCCGTAATTTTATCCATCGAATACGTTTCTTCTGCCTTCGAATAGTTTAAATAGTTTTCCTTTTCTCCGTTTTTCATTTGGCTGCTGTAAGAATGAATTGACAAAAAACGTAAAACTAATATTGATAATTATTTTATTCGTATATTAAATTATTTTCAATTATTTCGATCCGTTTATTCTGTCTTGTACATTATTATAATAATAATACATTATTTATGAACGTATAAACCCTTTGATAACTTAGCATTGAATTATAATATGTTATTAATTAAAGTGTGTACAATTGTGTAAGGTAGCTAAAATGGAAATTCTAAGAGAAGACAAGGACCTGTGAAAACAATCAATATTTGTTTTCAAGTTATTTGCAGATGGACACAAACGGACCTAGGACAACAGTGTGTAAACACAGAAAAGACATAACTGAACAATGGAATCTAATAGTTTTCCATGAGAATTAAAATTATGCAATACCTACTTTTATTAGCTTCATCTCTATCGCTGTTCTCGTTTACTTTCACTTCGTGTACATCTACAGCATATTT